CCCCTGGTCCCCAGTTCCATTTCCCCAGCAGCCTAATCCCATCACAGGGCCTCTGCCCTTGCTCTTCCCTCTGCCTGGCACTCTGTTCCCTACACGCCTCGGCAGGGTGGCTCAAACCATCATTTGGCGAGTTCTCAACTCAAACAGTACCTCCTCAGGGAGGCCTTCCCCAAACATGTTTTTTTTTGTTTTTTTGAGATAGAGTCTCACTCTTGTTGCTCAGGCTGGAGTGCAGTGGCGTGATCTCAGCTGACTGCAACCTCCGCCTCCCAGGTTCAAGTGATTCTCCTGCCTCAGCCTCCCAAGTAGTTAGGATTACAAGCACCCACCACCACACCTGGCTAGTAGAGACGGGGTTTCATCATGTTGGCCAGGCTGGTCTCGACCTCCTGACCTCAGGTGATCCACCCGCCTTGACCTCCAAAAGTGGATCATTCTTCTAATTCTGTCCCCTGTCCAGGCACATTATCCCCTCACGTGTTTTAAGTTCTTCACCGAATTTAACCCATGCACCCCCCGCAAAAGTGATTTGTTCATCTATTTGCAGACTTGCCTATTATTTTGTTTCCTCTGGAAGAATGTAGGCTCCTTGTCCATCTCCATCATCTCTGTATTCCAATGCTGAGCGCTGGGCCAGGTACACAGTAGTGGCTCAGTATATATTTGTTGTGTGAGTATAGGATCAGATGTTATAGACCAGGGACAGTGGCCTCTGGCTTTTGCTCATTCCCCTTCTTCTGACTGCAACACCCTTCTCAGTCAGTTCAAAGCATTATTTTATTGGATTTCATAGCAACTTAATGAAGTAAGCATTCTTCCTATCCCCATTTTAAAGGTTAGGACATTGAGGTTCTAAGAGGCTAAGGAATTTCACTGTGAACTGCGGTTGTTCAGGAAGAAAGGCATAGCAATAGAGGTTGAACCAGGTGTGACTGTCTCCGCAACCCCTCTTGTCAGCCATTGCTCAAGGGATAGTGAGGCCACAGTGCCCAGCCTTGGACAGTCACAGCCCTCCAAGGTGCAGGGTCAGAGCCATCTGAGGCTCCACAGATACGTGCTGAGAGTGCGCCCTTCACACTTCCAGCAAAGAGAGGCCCTGGGAATCATTTAGTCCACCCTCTCATGGTACGTTTGGGGAAACTAAGGTTTCCCCATGTTGCCTGATGTCACAATGTGTTTTGTGGCAGAGCAGGGGCCAGCATGAAAGTAGAATTTGGAGTCCCACCAGCCTGGATTGGCCTCCTGGGCTCTGCCCATTTCCTTAACCTCTCGGAGACTCAGTCTTCTCATCTGTAGAATGAGGAGAGTCCGGTCAGCCTGGAGGGAATAGGGACAAGAAAGCACACACAAAGCACCCCCAGGCACTTAGTAAATGTTCAGCAGGTAATAAGAGAGGCACGTATTGAGCACATTCTTCAGGCCAGACCCCACGCTAAGCACTTGACAGGCGGCATCTCCTTTCGTCTTCACCACAGGTGTGGGGAAGTTAGCATCCTTAGTTCAAGTTCACAGAGAGGAAGTCAAGCTCAGAGGCATTAGTCACTTGCCTGAGATCATACAGCCACCCAATGGGAGAGCCAGAATTTGGACCTGGCTCCATCTGACCTCAGAATCTGCATTCTCTGTCATCCTACTGGAATGGTGGTTTCCTCATATATAAAATGGGAAGAGCCAGGCCACTGGTCATCTTGCAAACCACCGGTGCATGCAAGGCTGACAGTTGGAATAGGACATAGATGGGTAGATGGAAGGGAGGATTGAAGGGTGAGGGAGTGGGTGGGCAGATGCGTGGATGGATGGGGTGGTGGATGGGTCAACGGGTGGATAAATGGGTGAATGGAAGAATGGATGCATGGATAATAAATAATAATAATAAATGGGTAGATGGGTATCTGAGTGAATGAACAGATGGATATTTGTTGATGGGTGAATAACTGGATACTGGGTGGGTGGATGGATGGGTGAGTGAGTGGATGGATGGATGTGTGGATGGATGGATGGATGGATGGATGGATGGTGAGTGAATTGATGGATGTGGATGGATAGATGGTGAGTGAATTGATGGATAGCTGGGTGGGTGTTTGAGTGGGTGAACGGGTGGATACATGGATATTTGTGGGTGGCTGAATGGATAGATAATGGATGGGGAGATGGATAGTTGAGTGAGTGTGTGGATGGATGAGGGATGAGTAGGTGGCTGGCTGGATGATGTGTGAGGTAGATGGATGGTTGGGTGAGTGGGTGAGTGGATGGATGGATGAATGGGTGAACGAGTGGGTCGATAGATGGGTAAATGGGTATATGAGCAGGTGAAAGAGTGGGTAGACGAATGGATGGATATTGGTGGGTGGTAGATTGATGGTTGGGTGAGTGGGTGAGTGGATGCATGGATGGATGAATGAGTGGATGTATGGGTGGGTGAGTGGATGAATGTATGGATGGATAGATGAGTGAATGAGTAGGTGAGTGGGTGGGTAGGTAGATAGATCAATGGGTGGGTGGGAAGATAGGCAGGTGGGTGAGTAGTTAGATGTGTAGGTAGATGGATGGATGGATGGATGGATGGATGGATGGATGGATGGAGCTGTGGATAATTCAGTGAGTAGGACAGTGGATAGGTGAATGAGTAGATGAGTGGGTGGGTGGATGGAAAGAAAAAAGATAAAAGGAAATACTCCCTGCATGCCACAGTGTTGTTTCTCCCTCTGAAAGGTCATTCCTACCTCGGAATGGTAACTGTTTCCCTCCCATCCCTTGGTAACCTACATGCATTTCATGCATTGTCAGGTTCCCAGGACTTCAGCTGGGACCCCATGATGTGCATGCTTCTCTGCGCGTGCGCGCGTGCACACACACACACACACACACACACACACACAGAGAACAACACAAAGGCTCTTCCTTCCACAAATGCTCTGGAGGTGGTCTCCTGGGCTGCTCACATCCTCATATCAGCACAAGCCCCAGAGCCAAAGGACTTAAACACCTGGTTTTGCAAAACAAATTATTCATTCTATAGCATGTCTCTCCCAAACCAACCTAAAGGGGGGGAATTATATTCTATTTCCTATGCTTTCTGTCGAAACAAATGTATCTACTCTGAGCTCCTTCTACTGTTAAGTTCTTCCCCATTGGGAACAGAGTTCCAGTGGCCACCCAGGCCGAGGTGTCTGTACTTTCCTAAACTGAGGAATCTCACTGGAATTTTCTCTAGAGAGTCAGACAGACCTAAGACCAGCTGTGTGCCTCTGGATTTCACACTCACCTCACTGGGCCTTTGTTTCTGCCCTGGATTCCAGGACTAAAGGGCTGACAGTCTTCTTTCTTTTTTGCCTTTTTTTTTTTTTTTAGATAGGGTTTCTGTCACCTGGGCTGGAATGCAGTGGAGCAATCATGGTTTACTGCAGCCTCAAACTCTTGGCCTCAAGAAATTCTCCTGCCTCAGCCTCCTGAAGTGTTAGGATTACAGGCAGGAGCCACCACACCCAGCCACATAACAGTCTTTATAGATATCATGGCCGGGAGTGGTGGCTCACGCCTGTAATCCCAGCACTTTGGGAGGCTGAGGCAGGCGGATCACCTGAGGTCAGGAGTTTGAAACCAGCCTGGCCAACATGGGGAAACCCCGTCTCTACTAAAAATACAAAAATTAGCCGAGTGTGGTGGCACACACCTGTAATCCCAGCTACTTGGGAGGCTGAGGCAAGAGAATTGCTTGAGCCCAGGAGGTGGAGGTTGCAATGAGCCAAGATCGTGCCACTGCACTCAAGCGTGGCCAACAGACCGAGACTCTGTCTCAAAGGAAAAAAAAAAAAGAATATAGATATCATGTAGATAACATACGCCTCACCCATGTCATAGGAGTCTCAGTGTGAACCAACTCCCTGAAAACCCTGTGGTTTCTGGGGGGAGCAAAATGAGATCTGGTAGAAAGAGCTCTAGGGTAGCCCTAGGAGTTCCCACCTCTCCACCTAACTTGTTGTGTGACCTTGGGAAAGTGAGTCACTCACCCTCTCTGGGCCAAAAATTACCTTACCTACAAATACCTAGGTTGGTGTAAACCAGCAGTTCCCCACCTTCTATGGAATAGATAACATTCTTTCTTTTGTTTTTCTTTAAAAATAATAAACTTTGATTAAGCATTTATATATATCATCACACATAAGCAGCAGCATGCCGACCCCGAGAAGCAGCACTTTACCCTGCATTTTACAGGTCACAAAACAAAGGAGGACAAAGAGTTCAAGGCCAACAGTGCGTGGGCAGAGTCCACACTCAGATTCTGTGTAAATATGTCTGCCGCAATAATGTGATTGCCCCAGAATGCATTTTGAAAACTTGCTCCTCTATTCTCTAACATAGCATCGGCATCTCTCCACATCATTTCGTGCTTCTGTCTCTGCACAGTCAATAGCAGCACTGTGTTTCAGTATGTGGGTGCCCCCATGGTAATCCCCTCTCCACGGCCATTTAGGTTGAATTTGAATGAAAATCACTTTAAGGGCAAAATATTTTCCAGTCCTTCCCAGGGCTGGGACATGGGGTCTTTTCAGAGTCTATGTTTGGAGATTGTTACAATGCACACCACTGGGTATTTCCCATGTGATGGCAAGAACTCAAGAACTATGCATCTCAGTCGCTTCCATCATTGGAGCAACAGACAGCTATGCGGGTGAGTCTTGGAGGAAGCTGGAAAGCCAATAGACATGGGTGTCCTGATTGTCACCTCTTCTGCCTCTTCTTCTCCCCACTCTGATTCTCAAAGCTCATGCCTGGCCTAGGACCCCCAACCACCCCTTAATCCACTGGCAGCCCTGCTTTAGTTCCCAGCTTGCAGGAGCATTTGGATTGAGCCAACCACCAGAGACAGATCTTTCCGATTTCTCTGGAATATCCACTTCTAACTCCCACAGGAGAAGAGCAGCTGCAAAGAGAAACAGCCGGGTCCTAAAAGTGGGATTTTAATGCTTACACTGCATTAAAAGCTTACCGCTGCTTTCACTCACAGGATAATCTTGAGCAAGGCAGTTTATCCTCTGCAGACCTCAGTGTCCTCATCTGTAAATTGGGAGTAATAAAAATTTTTATCAATAACCACCCTCTCCACCGTCCTGGAGCCAGCCACGTGACTTAGCGTCTCAAAACCTCAGTTTATGTGCCCATAAAATGGGTTAATAATGATAACAGGCCACAACGTGTTACTCTGAAACTTTTTTTTCTCTCTTTATGAGACTGTGGAGTCTCACTCTGTCACCCAGGCTGGAGTGCAGTGGTGAGATCTAGGGTCACTGCAACCTCCTCCTCCTGGGTTCAAGCAATTCTCCTGCCTCAGCCTCTGGAGTAGCTAGGATTACAGGCGTGCACCACCACGCCCAGCTAATTTTCGTATTTTTAGTAGAGATGGGGTTTCACCATGTTGGCCAGGCTGGTCTCAAACTCCTGACCTCAAGTGATCCACCCGCCTCAGCCTCTCAAAGTGCTGGGATAACAGGCATGAGCCACCGCATCTGGCCAGTATGAAACTTCCATACAGTCACAGATAGCAGAGGTCAGCAAAATTTTTCAGTAAAGGACCAAATAGTAAATATTTTCAGCTTTGCCGGCCAGATGTCCTCTGTTGCAACTCCTCACCTCTGCCACCGTGGCATGACGAGCAGCGATAGATGAAACGTGAAAGAACGAATGTGGCTGTGTTCCAATCAAAATGTATTGATGGACACTGAAATTTGAATTTCATCTATTTTTCATGTGTCACGGAGTATTATTCCTCTTCTGATTTTTTTTTCCATGATTTAGGTATGCAAAATTACTTTTAGCTCATAGGCCCTGTAAAAACAGACAGCTGACGTAGTTTGCAGACCTCTGATACATACCTAAGTAACACCGTGCCTGGCATGTAGATCGCAGGAAATGTTCAGGTTTTTCCTGTTTCCACTTAAATGGAGAACTTTAGAGGTCATTTGTCCAGTCGTATTTCCATTTCCAGAAACTCATCCATCAGACGCGCTAGAGTTGATTGTTGGCTTTCTGAATATCAACTTTCCAGGACAGAGTACTTGCTTTCAGCCCTCAAATGACTCTTCCATCTGTGACCAGTCTATCAGACAGCGACTTTACAATAAAACAGATATTCATCGTGAACACATTTCAGTACTTCTTTACAATTTTTATTTCCCTAAATGCTCATATCATATCCTATTATATAAGCTGCTGTTCTTGTCCCCATTTTGCAGATGAGAAAAATGAGGCCAGAGAAGGGGAGTTATTTGACCAAGGGTTGCACTGCTGGGACCCAGGCAGTCTAGACCCAGTGACAGCCCTCTGTGGTGGCTGAGGTCTTTCTCCCTCTGCCAGGATGGAAGTCAGGGTGCCATCCAACTCCTGACACCCCCAAACCAACACCACAGAGATCCCGCCCTGGGAGTCCCACCCTGTTGCACCCATTCCCCATGATTCAGTGAAGCTGTTTTGCAGGCAAGAACATCATTCTCACAGGAAAGCGAGGTTCCTCTGGTGATGGTGGGGATGGGGTGGGGAGGGGGGGTGTTGGCAGGCAACAAATCAGCACATAAACAATTAAAATAAGATTTAAAAAAATAGATTGCTTCCTCTGCACACGCGAGCTGCAGATCGTGGCGGAAGATCTCTCAGAGGCTCAGCGCTGTTCTGTCCCTGGAACGTGGAACACATTCAGCTAATTGAAGCCCTACGTAGTGCGGCTGGCAGGTGGGGGGACTTCAGGAGTGATCCATCTACCCTGGCAGGCTCGTTCCAGGAGGCGAGCGAAGGAGGCCTTATACAGCTCCGTACAAGACTAATATCTCCGCAGTACATGGAACGAGAAGCAGGAACACCCTCGTTTGTTTTTTGGTGTTTTTTTTATAAGACTGACGTGGCAGTTTTTCCCCTGATTTTTCAAAGCCACACTTACTTACTGCTCTTTGTACCTCTTGAGAGAAACGTGACCCCCAAATCTTTGTCTCCTTCACAGAGTGATGGGGGAGGAAGAGTAGAAGATAGATTTGTCGCATTTTAAAAACTATCAAATTCTCTGTGTTTTATATTTACATACAATTAAAACAAATTATAAACGACAGAAGGGGATAAAATGCAAAGGCCAAATCTGTCTCCTTAGAAACAGTACTCCATCCATCTGCCAAGTATTTATTGAGTACCTACTATATGCAAGGCAATACTGAGCACCTACTGTGTATTAGGCTCTGGGGATGTAGAAGTGAAAAAAACAGTCAAGTCTCTGCCCCAGTTCCCACATTCAGAGGAAATTAATGTTAACTGTTCCCTGCATTACCTTTCTAGAAATTATTTGTGAATAATCTCTCTCTCTCTTTTACACACACACACACACACGCATGTATACACGTATGTTTATCTTTTTGAAATGAATTAGATCATGCCAGATATAATAATTTGTGCCTTGGTGTGACTTTTTCTTTAATTTAACAATATATTTGGGGCATTTTTTTTCCATTTTAACAAATAAAAAATCGACCTCATTTTTGTCTAAATAGCTGTGTGACACTTCAAAGCGTGCCTATAGCAACATTTAATTAATCGCCTGTTGATGGACATGTTCATTGCCTCTGGCTTTAGGCTGTTGCAACCAACGTGGCAGTGAACATCCCTGAGCAAAAGGTCTGTTACCATAAATAAGGAAGGAGCTCAGAGATGACCTACATGGTTGTCATTCATGTTGCTCACCTCATATGTCCTGTTCTTCTCCAGGACTCATGGTAGAACTCCACTTCCTTGCCCACTTAGAGAGAGGTGTGGCTCAGTGAGATACAATCTCACACCAGTTAGAATGGCGATCATTAAAAAGTCAGGAAACAACAGGTGCTGGAGAGAATGTGGAGAAATAGGAACACTTTTACACTGTTGGTGGGACTGTAAACTAGTTCAACCATTGTGAAGGCAAGTGTGGTGGATCCCTCAAGGGATCTAGAACTAGAACTACCATTTGACCCAGTCATCCCATTGACTGGTATATACCCGCAAAGGATTAATCAAATCATGCTACTATAAAGACACATTGCACACGTATGTATTACTTGTGGCACTATTCACAGTATGTAGCAAAGACTGAACCAACCCAAATGCCCATCAATGATAGCACTGGATTTAAGAAAATGTGGACACTATACAATCATGGAATACTAGGCAGCCATAAAAAAGGATGATCATGTCCTTTGTAGGACGAATGGATGAAGCTGGAAACCATCTTGGCTCATTCAAACTATTCGCAAGGACAACAAAACCAAACAGCGCAGTTCCTCACTCATGGGTGGGAAGCTGAATCAATGAGAACACTTGGACGTCAGAAAGGGAACATCCACACACGGGCCTGTCATGGGGTGGGAGGAGGAGGGGCAGGGATAGCATTAGGAGATATACCTAATGTAAATGACGAGTTAATGGGTGCAGCACACCAACATGGCACATGTATACATATGTAACAAACCTGCACGTTGTGCGCATGTACCCTAGAACTTAACGTATAATTTTAAAAAAGAAAAAAATAATTAGAATAGTTAGAGTAAATGTCACATAATAAAACATTTTGACCAAAAAAAAAAAAAAAAAAAGCGAGAGAGAGAGGTGTGGCTGCAGGACTGGCCCTGATGCCATATGTCATATTGTGCATGGAAGCTTCGGGATGGTGACCTTCTGCTCTCTTTTCTTTCTGGGACAGTGACCAGTCACACTCCAGAAGGTGACTGCTCTACCCCCAAAGTTCTAAACTACAGATTGTGGAAACGGGTGGCACATCCTCCAGCCAGCCTACCATGGACACGAAGTGAGAGCCAGAAAGAAACATACTGTTTTGTACCATTGGGATTGGGGGGCTGTTTGTTACTGTATCATAGCCCAGTTTATTCTCACATATACAAGCTACTACAATTCTTCTATTTCATAAACAGGGGCATGAAGGCTACATTTATTGCCTCCAGTCCCTGAAGTGTAAATCTTGATAGCTCCCCAGCACCCACATGTTAGAACTCAGGCTCTTTAGCATGTTGTTCAAGACACTAGTTATTTTACAACAACCTACCAACCATTTCAGTCTTATTTCCACCAGGTCTATCCTGTGCCTCGGCCACATGTAAGAATGGCCCATAGCTACACATTCTCTAACTCAATTCATGCTGTTCCCTAGTCCTGGGCTGTCCTTCCCTGCCTTTGCTTCAGAAAGAACTCCTACTCATCCTTCAATACCAGGTCAAAATGGTGCCCATCTCTCAAGGTTTGCCTGGCCCCCCCAGACAGCTGCTTCCTCCTCAGTGCTTCCCTAACACCTTAAAAAGCCTCCCGTATGGGGAATGTATCACAGGCCTTCCTGATTGTCTGTTTATACGCCTGTTTCCCCCACCCCCAGATTGTGAGCTTCTTGAGGGCATGGACATTATCTTATTCATCTCTTCTCAGTGCCCAGCACGGGGGCTGGAACACGGTGGGGTGCTTGGTAAACGTTACTAAATGAATGGATGGATGAATGCATGAATGGATGGGTGGATGGGTGGATGGATGGAGGGATGGATGGATGGATGGATGGATGGATGGATGGAGAGATGAATGGATGGATGATTCTTGGTCTTCCAGCCCTGTCTACTTACTGTGCTAGTCTCTCCTTCCACATTCCTTCCAGCATTTCGCTGCTGAATAGCTAGTGCATGATTCGTGAGTATAAATTCTTGCCCTCAGACAAAAATGGGCAAAACAGTGATGATGAACACAAGGTTCAGGGCGCCAAAGTGATCCCTTTAAATACATCAGCAAGGTCTTCACGGTAAAACGGTGAGGCCAACTGGCAGTTCTTCAAAAAGTTAAACATACCCAATGACCCAGCAATTCCAGTCCTAGGTATATACCCAAGAGATTGAAAACAGGGACTCAAACAAATCCTTGTTTGCAAACGTTCTTAGTAGCATTATTTATAACAGTCATAAGTCGAAAATAACCCAAATGTCCATCAACAAATGAATGGATAAACAAATGGTGGTCTATTTATACAATGGAATATTATTCAGCCATAAAAAGGAATGAAGTACTGATTCGTGTTACAACAAGGATGAGCCTTGAAGACGTTATGCTAAGAGAAAAAAGCCAGTCACAAAAGGCCACATATTGTATGATTCCATCTACATAAAATATGCAGAACAGGTAAATTCAGGAAAAACACAATGCAGATAGTAGTGGCTGCTGGAGGGGAAGATGAGGAGTGACTGCTTAATGGGTGCAGGGATTTATCTTGGAGTGCTGGGAATGTTTTGGAACTAGACAGTGGTGGTATTTGGACAGCACTGTGAATGTGCTGAAGGCCACTTTAAAATGGTTAATACTACGTTATGTGAATTTTATCTTAATTGTTTAAAATTTAAGTAAGAGAAACCAATAAGACAGTTGGTGCATTTCTTCCCAGCCTTCTTCTTGGATGCACCATGATGGACCAGAAGTGAGGTAGGCAGGCATCCTGAGCAAATGAACCCAGGCACTGAGCCACCAGCAGCATGGTTCCAAGGAAGACAATGCTTCCTGGGGGCAGGAATGTCCCTCCCTCAGGGTCTCTGTGGGATCCAAATATATGAGGGAGGTAGACGGGGAGAGACAAGGACACAATAAATAGATGCTGATACAGGGACAAACATATAGAGGCCTGGAGAGAGGGAGAGAGAAACAAAAAGAGAGAAGAAACTCACGGAGAAATAGGAAGGAGGGGAGAAGAACAAGGGGTCTCAGATGAACTAAGCAAGCCAGGAAGACCACGGAGACTCTGATTACTTCCTGCTGGGCAATGTATGGGTAAGGAGCTAAGAAAAAGGCAGAAACTCAGTTATTAATATTTTTCTCCTGGTGTCAAATCCATTCCACAGGCCAGATAGAGGTCCAGCTTCAGGCCTTTATGTGGGACCTGGGGAAGAGTCTGCCTCACTGGCTCCTGCTTGGGGAGTGGACACATTCCAAGGGGCTTTCTAGGATGAATGGAGGGGCCAGGCATCCTATGCCATGTGGGCCTACACAAAGTCTTTCCTCTTCTGAGCCTCATCAGCCTCATCTCTAATTACAGCAAATTGTATTTCCCAAGTTTGCTGAACAAGAAGTGCAGAAAAATTCCTCTCCCCCTGAAATGGGGCAGGTCTTTGCAGTAGTGTAGATGAATTAATACAGCAGAAAGGATGCAGCATGACTTCTGAGATGAGGTCAAGAAAGGTAATATGGCTTCCTCACAGCACACTCCCCTGGGAGAGTTGTGCTTGGAACCCAGCCACCATGTTGTGAGGAAGCCCAGACTACATGAAGAGGCCACACTCAAGCCTTTCACCCAACAGCTCCAGAGGCATCAACTACCTATGCAAGCAAAGAAGTTTCAGAAGTTTCCCACTCCCACCCTTGGAGCCATCTCAGTCTGATGCTACATGAAACAGAGACAACCTGACCCTGCTGAACCCTGCCCAACTCACAGATCCTTGAACAAAATTAACATTTTAGGTTGGGCGTGGTGGCTCATACCTATAATCCCAGCACTCTGGGAGGCTAAGGTGGGCAGATCACTTGAGCCCAGGAGGTCGAGACCAGCCTGGGCAACATGGCAAAACCCCATCTCCGCTAAAAATACAAAAATTAGCCAGGCACGTTGGCACATGCCTGTAGTTCCAGCTACTTGGGAGACTGAGGTGAAGGATGGATTGAGCCCAGGAGGTCCAGATTGCAGTGGGTTGTGATCACACCATTGCATTCCAGCCTGGGTGACAGAGTGAGACCCTGTCTCAAAAAAATTTTTTTTCTTTAGTTAAATCATTAAAAATCACTTAAAATTTTTTTTATGCTGTTGTTGTATAGCCTCAGGCAACTGGATGGATAGGAAACCCTCAGTTGCAGCACTCACAGGCTGAATTGTGTCCCCCAAAAATGTATATGTTGGAGTTCTAAACTCCAGTAGTGCAGAATGTTATCTTATTTGGGAATAGGGTCTTTAAAGCGGTAATTAAGGTAAAATGATGTCATTGGGGTAGGTCTTGATCCAACACAACTGGTGTCCTTATAAGCAGAGGAGATTAGGACAGAGACATGTACAGAAGGAAGATAATGTGAAGACACGATGAGGAGAAGACAGCCGTCTGCAAGCCAAGGAGAGGGGCCTTGGAAGAAACCAATTCTGTCCACACCTTGACATGGGCTTCTAGCTTCCAAGACTTGGGGAAAGAAATGTCTGTGGTTTAAGCCACTCAGTCTGTGGCACTATGATATGGCAGCCCTGGCAAACTCATACAACCAACCATTGGATCCACTTTCCAGATGGGAAACAAAGCTCTGAGAGTTAGCGCCTCCCCAGGCTCCACAGCTGGCAAGCCATGGAGTGGGCCTGGAACCTTCCTGCCTCTCGGGGGTGGCCCCATATCCTAAACCTGAATGTAGCCAGAGTCTATCAGAAATGACAACTCCAAACCCCTAGGCTGCCTCCAGAGCAGACATTACTAATTCATCCCAGAGCACTCTCACTCAGCTCAGATGTGGCCTCAGTCTCTCCAGTCAAGATTCCCATGGATGGGCCAGCAATGGCCAGAGGGACACTTTCCTGGGCACAGCTCAGTGGAGCCTGCCTGAGGCTGTGCTATTTGGATCACTCTTTTTTTTGGCGAGGGGATGGGGCGCATTCTGAGGCTCTATGGTGGTCATTATGGTGCAAAGATTACCCGAGATGGCATCTATGGTTAATTTACTAGCACCGCTGTTACATAGGGTCTATAAGATAAGTCAGGACTCTGCATAGAGACTCATCCTGGTTCCCATGACCCGCAGGGTAGGGCTGGGCCAC